CCCAAATATGGAGACGGCCGGGCAGGAATCCGGGGGGCCGGGCCGCGCCGCGCGATAAAAGCCGCCGGGCCCCGGCACCCACCGAGCGCCACAGCTGAGAGCAGCGTCTCTGCCCAGCCTGAGCCGGAGCGACACACACCCCCCAGGTGAGCCCGGCCCGGGGCAGGGAGCGGGGGGGGCCGAGGGAGGGACTGAGAAGGCAGGGCTGCAGCCGCCGTCGGGCCTCCCGCACCCGCACCCGGCCGGCTGCCACCGGCACCGCGGGCACTGCACCAGCACCAGCGGGACCATGAGCAGGGCTGCCATCAGCACTAGTAGCATCGGCAGGATCAGTGGGAGCTGTAGTAGTAGTAGCATTATTATTATTAACGGTATTAGCATTATCACGCTGGTCCTGTTTGAAGCCGGGGTTGGACTAGATGAGGTCCTGAGGTCTCTTCCAGCCCTCGTGGTCTAGGGCTCTGGGCTGGAAGTAACAGAACTAGCTTCATCAGAACGGTTCTAGTGTCTACTACAACTATGACAGGGTAGTCTATCGTATACATTATAGTATAGTGTCTACTGCAACTAGTATAGTATATCAGATATAGTATAGTATAGTAATCTACTAGAACGATTATAGTGTAGTATATCATATATATTATAGTACCTAATATATTATAGTATAGTATCTACTAGAACTATTATAGTGTCTACTACAACTATTATACGGTAGTATATCGTATATATTATAGTATATAATACTACTGTTATAGTCGCAGCAGTTGCAATAGCGGCATTATTAGTATTCATATTAGCATTATTACTATCAGTAGTAGTGATATTAACTCTATTATCAGGAGTGTTCGCATTATTAGTATCAGTAGTAGCATTATCAGTGATAGCACCGTTATTACCAGTGATAGCGGTAGTAGCATTATTAGCAATAGTAGTAGCACTAACAGTAGTAGTAGTAGTAGCTACCACTAATTCATGCTACTACAAATAACAATGTCAGTTCTATTACTAACGCGAATGCCAACCTATGAGCCTTAGTAGTAGACTGACGTTAGTGCTAACGGATATTATTAATGCTAATGTATTAACATTAGTGTAATCGAGATTAGTGCTAATTGACTTTAATGCTAATGTATTAGCATTAGGAATACCATTGACATTATTAGAATTAGTAGCATTAATATTAGCATTATTATCACTGCCAGTATCATTACTCGGAGCATTATTGTTACCACTATGATTGCTATCAGTCCTATTACTATTCTTTACTACTTTATGCCAACTACATAGTTGGTTCCATACAAGATCTCGCCCTATAAGATCCTTGCCTCTGGCATCCTTTCTGGCCATGAAGGCTACAGCCTGGCCCTTCCCCTCCCAGGATGACTGCTAGCATTATTGGCAATATCAAAGAATCCAAACGGCGGCGATAATGACCGTGACGATGATAATCCCAAGGGGGATCTCAGCTCCTGGGTGGTGGGGGGCTTTCTTTTTCCCTCGCACCTTCTAAATCCGCTACAACTGAACCAGGCTCTTTACTGGCTCCATCCAAGCTTCAGTGACCCTTGGCAGAGCCATTAGTAAAGCTGGCTGCTGTGTCCCATCCGTGCAAAGGGCCTTGACGTGCCAGCATGGCTGGAGACGTGCCAAAGGATCCCTCCCTCCCCCCCGCCCAGGAGAGCGGCCCCCGAGGGTCAGCAGGCTGAGCCCGCCAGGGTTGTCCCGGGAGGACGGGCTGCGGTGGGTGTTTCTCGGACACGACTCCCCAGGGCCGCAGGGGGATGTGTGCGCACAGGGGGCAGGTCCCGTGAGCCCCGCGGAGGTGCTGAATGCTGTCTTTCTTCCTCCCCAGAAAGCCGCCACCATGTGTGATGAGGATGAGACCACCGCGCTCGTGTGCGACAACGGCTCCGGCCTGGTGAAGGCTGGCTTCGCCGGGGACGATGCCCCCAGGGCCGTCTTCCCCTCCATCGTGGGCCGCCCCCGCCACCAGGTGCCTGCCTGGGCCCCGCCCCCTACTCTTAGCCCCGCCCCTTCCCGGAGCAAGCCCTGCCCTGCTTTATTGGTCACGCCCTCATCCCCTAACCACGCCCCTTCCAGACTGACCTGCCATTTGACCACGCCCCTTCTCCCGCTAGCCCCGCCCCCGCTCCCCTATAAACCTGCTCTATTGGCTACGCCTCCACCTACCTTAACCACTCCCCTTCCACATTGACCCATCGAGCCATTTAACTAGGCCTTTTCATCATGGCCACGCCCGCTTCTATTAGCCCCGCCCCTTTCCCCCTCAATCCCGCCCCATGTTCTATTGACCATCGCTCCACCCTCCCTAACCACGCAGCTTGTTACATAGACCGTTCTATCTAACACCGCCCCTTTCGACGTGACCACGCCCCCTTCTGTGCTTAGCCCCACGCAGTTCTATTGGCCACGCCCCCACCCCTTAGCCTCTTCCCTTTCCCTGTCAACCCCGCCCATGTTCCATTGGCCATGCCTCCATCCTCCCTAACCAGCCCCTTGCACTTACCACCCTTTGCAATGTGGCCACGCCCCTTCTGTGATCGGCCCCACCCAGTGTTCTACTGGCCACGCCTGTAACCCCTTAGCCCTAGCCCCGTCCCCTTTCTCTCTCAACCCTCTCAACCCCACCCGTGTTCTATTGGTCACGCCCACACGGGTGTGCTGTAGTGTGAAGCTCTGCTTTCCCACGCTGCCTCTCCTGGCAGGTGCACTGTGGGTCGGGATCGGAGCAGCACTAACCCCGGGTTTCCCCCCCTCCCCGCAGGGTGTCATGGTGGGTATGGGTCAGAAGGACTCGTACGTAGGGGATGAGGCGCAGAGCAAGAGAGGCATCCTGACTCTGAAGTACCCCATCGAGCACGGCATCATCACCAACTGGGACGACATGGAGAAGATCTGGCACCACACCTTCTACAATGAGCTGCGCGTGGCCCCCGAGGAGCACCCCACCCTGCTCACTGAGGCCCCCCTCAACCCCAAGGCCAACCGTGAGAAGATGACCCAGATCATGTTTGAGACCTTCAACGTGCCTGCCATGTACGTGGCCATCCAGGCGGTGCTGTCCCTCTATGCCTCCGGCCGTACCACCGGTGAGTGCCCCCGCCCCACCCCCGGCCCCCGCCCAT